TTACTTTTTATATTTGTATCATTAAGGACCAGAGTGTCAAACACAAATGGTCTAACGGTTTTTAATTTCAATTTCTTCAACTTAAACTTATTACCGTTTAAGCTAAGTATTGAATTGAAATCGCAATCTGTAAGTGCGTTTATTAAGCAGTAGTTTCTTATTTTTCATGCATCATAATTAATAAATAAATCTAAAAATATACCTGTTTGAGAATTGTATATTGTTAAACACGTGTGTGATACGACATTCGTGTTCCTCTCCCAACACGACAAAGTCAACAAAAGAGGGAAGGTGGGCTTCCGAAGTATATCCACGTTTAAGACATGGTGCACGTTTTTTATGTAAAACAAACAAATTAAAGCATTTCATTCACATTTGAAAAAGATTGCAAACAAAAGAAAATAAGTTTCTTTTTTATACGGCCTGGATCATAGCTCGAGTTCATCGCGTAGGAACTCTGACACGTCGCCATTTAAGACTTATAAACAACTGCATTGAATATTCGCCCCTATAGTATAGGTCGTGGGTGGCGACCGCCTATGAAGAACAAACATTTCGGATCGCGCCGAAGGCGCTCAAGTGCTCTCTTGAGCGAAACGCATCGATGCGACTAAATTGATGTGTAACGTGCGGAGAATTTTCCGTCGTATTTTTTATACTCCTTCCTGAAGACATACGCCAGGCTGGCGCCAGCCAGCCGGTGGTTCGTTTGTATATTGCAAGTCAAGTACCTTCAAAAGGATACGACGACGAACGTTCTGGAATCGAACCACATAGAACACCTTCCACTATCATTTCCCGAAGAAAATTTGGGTATATAAGGGCCCAAACGCGACCAAAACGCGGGCTAGTTTTGAGTTTATTACCGACGAAGAAACGTTAAACGAGATCGAGTTTAATTCTCTTTGAAGCAAAATAACCGAGTAGCTACTAGATACCGGGTTAAAAAGCCTCCGCCGATTCAGTGCGACAAACTGAGAGCGCGATATGGAATACGCGATACACTAGTACATATACAATTGTAATTAACCAAAACTTGTATAATATACTATCTTTTACCAGTTTACTTTCGTTGCAAAATTCAATTATTCCATTTCCTGATTCGAAACAGTAGTTGCTACAAACCCACTAAGATATACCTTTACCGCT